GGGGGGGGGGGGGGCACTATTGTCAGTCGCTGTACATCTCCATCTCTAGACGGTAAGAAAAACACAAATTCGGTCATGGGGCTAGGGCCTTTCGCCATTGCATAGGGACCTCTCCTCCTTCTGTCTACACCAACAAAAACGGAGGCAAGTAATCGTGTTCTGGATGGTCAGGTATTCTTTCTTTTTGTCTGTCCAAGAGCGGGATTGCACAACATGCGTGTTGTGGCTATTCCTCGAAAAAGATTTCTTTATGTTGTGGTCCCGCCTCACACCTCGCAGCAGTCCCCGAGGAGACTGGTGATCTTCTCGTTCCGGAACATCTCCTGGCTCCACGGATTGCGCCTGCACATCCTCAGGGATACCTCGTCGAGCTCGACCGTCACCACGCCACTGACCCCCCTGCACCGCGCCGCCGCGATGGCGGTGTAGCCAAGGCCGGTGCACGTGTCGAGGACTCTGTTGGGGGGGGGGGAAGGGGGTCATGAGTTCCGCCAGTCCCATCCGCCGCAGCAGAAATAAGCCGCCCCCGCCGAAACCACTCCCGGTGTTTACCACTGGGGTTGGGTTTTCGTCGCTTGGCAACGACGATATAAAACAAGCCGCCGCCCCCCGGTGTTTGCCATCGGGGTTGGGTTTTCGTCGCTTGTCAACGACGTTGTGAAGCAAGGCCCCCCATCGGTGTTTGCCATCGGGATTGGGTTTTCGTCGCATGGCAACGACGTTGTAAAACAAGCCAATTCACTTGGTGAACTCGGCAACCAGGTTACCGTTTTTTTTTTCACCTCTATTTTTTATTTTGGCGGTAACCATAGTGGTGGTCGAGTGTATCATGTTGTGCGGGGTCGAGAACCCTCTCTCCGAGCAAAAGGGATGATCGCACCACGTTGTGTTAAAATGGTCAAGCATCCTCGAGGCAGTTACGCAGTGCTTATAACTGTCCCTGGAAGTGAAGCACCAGAAAATAAATTAAGTCATACGAAGCTGTCATCCGTACGCAAGGAAGTAAGCACAAGATGCCGAACACCCTTAGCAGGATGCAGCGCACCCTTCATGCGACTCGCCGAATNACCCCCCTCCCCCCCGCCGAAAACACACGCAAAAGACACACAAAGGGACGGAGAATAGGAGTGGAGCGAGCGCGGGTTGGTGGACAGAAGAAAAGCCAGTCCCCCCCGAAAAAACACACACACAATCACAAACACCCCAGAGGACGGAGAACAGCGGTGTGTTGGTTTCAACAAACGGTTGAACTCGCTCATTAGCGAAGGGGGCAAGGGTGTACACCGTCCACTCGAGAGGTGTTGGTTGGAATTTCCACATGGGAACAAGACTCGCTTTTAAGCGTACACAGGCCACATCGCTATCTACGAGCACCACCCGGGCAACATGCATGATATGAAAAGCGACTACCTTGCCTTGTACTACCCACTCAGAGAGCAAGCCATTCAGCAATAGAGGTACTGTAGATAACAACACCTGCCGTTCGTTCGCCGCGCGCCTGACGCCGAGACTTTGTGTTCAGTGTCTAGGCCTGGCTCCATGGTCTTGGTAGATTTCGTAGATTCCACGTCATCAAGGAAGAAAGAAGACAGGCAACACGGAGGAAGGAATGGGCACACATGCAACACTTGCTGTCAAGGTTAAAGGACGCCAAAGGACGACGGTCAGGAGCGTTCAGGCAGACCTGGAACGCAGAAGGACAAAAAGAAAGGGGCAATGCGGGCTCCAGTCTAAACGCGCCACACCCTCTATTCTTGTACGTGAACTAATTACATGTTGAAGACCCGGAAAAAAGCAACACTCTCTTTTGCATACCTCTCCGGTGCTATGCCTCAACATCTCGGCGAAAAGAGTCGGCAACAAAGCAATCGCCAAGCGGGGCATACAAACGGTTCGACCTACGAAATAGGGAGTACCAAACACCGAACCCCCCACCCCGCCCCATCCATCCGCTTGCACAGCTACACCCGAGCAAACCAGGACCGCACGCCTAGCCTTCCGCGTGCAGAGAGAGAGAGAGAGAGAGAGAGAGAGAGAGAGAGAGAGAGAGAGAGAGAGAGAGAG